CTTGGTAAAATCAGTGATTTTAATGCCATTATACAGCGAAATGAGTATGTTACTACAGAAATCATTCTGTTACAAGAAAGCTGATTGCATGCTGATGTGGAAATGGGGTAATTCAACTCGACGGTTATTTTCCCAACAGGTCGGACCGCTCCGGGAAGCTCCACTTTCGTGGTGGTGGAGTTATAATTTTCGTTAATCAACGTACGTGCAACGCAGCAATCCTAATACTTATGTACTCCACGATTTCTATACGCTGCCATTTAGGTGAGTGCAAACCGAAGTACCTAAGTGGCTTACGAACAGTCATTGTTGGACACGTGTACATTGCTCCTGACACCTCTGCATCTTAGTTAAAGCGTTTGGAAGACCAACTTTCTTCCGCGCTACTGCTTAAGTTAGATTGTTCTATCTGTATTGATGCTGGCAACTTCAATAGAAAGGATACAACATTCCTGTAGACACTTGGCTCGGTAGACCTAGTGACTGTTTCGACCAGACAAGATGCCCAGTTGGGCGCTGTGTTCACAAATAAACGACAGTTGTTTGTCATACAAAAGCGGGCTCATTTGAGCAGCTCAAACCATTGTATTTGGCAACTGTGTCCAGTCACATACAGCAGGTCAAGTTCTTTTTAACGCTGACCAGACGTCCTTACAAGATTACAAAACGACGAAATCGCTCCTTGGAAAATAGCAGGAGGCTCCAGACGATGTTTTCTTTACCTGATTTTTAGGTCCTCAACGACGAGGACCCGCCGCTCGAATTTGACCATCTTAGGTACCATATTGCTTTGACATGTGTTGTCTTGTTGAAACTATCTATCTAAGAGCAGATAGATTTTCATCTCCACTACTAAAGCGACTTAGAACGATGAAAGAATAGACTTAAAAGTACAAGAATGCTACTCTTGTCAAAATCCTAACCACAGTAATTAAATCCGAGATATAAAGTGCTAAATCAATTATACGTCGAAGCAGTTCTAGGCAACCATAACTGTCGAGATCTATGGGGACTTCTGGTGTAGCTCTGTGGTACTATTGTAGCCAGAGTGGTGAAGTGGATGTGGACAAACGGAATTCGGAGTTCAGTTCCGCCCCAATAAGCTCATCTTCCTTCTCCCCCTACATTAGCTCAAGTCCAGCCGCACCCTTCGATCAAGGCAACGTCCACAAGTAACTCAAAAGCTTAATGGCAACCAAAGCTTGTGGTCCGGATGTTCTCTCACCGTTAGCTTTGAAGTAGTGTGCTGATTCTCTCACACTGCCTCTAACAGTCCTCGTTAACAAGTACCTCACTACTGGTGTGATCCCGGACATTTGGAGAACGGCCAGTATCACTCAAGTACGAAAAAGTGGATCTCACAAGTATCGCCCGATTGCATGCACATCTGTGCTCCTAAAAGATTTCGGAAGACTGTTAACTGCGCGGATTTTTTCAGCCGTTCCTGAAGACGATATCCACCAGTTTGCATATAGACCCCAGCGCTCCACATTGGATGCAGTGGCATATTTTGTTCATTCTATAGCCTCTGCATTAGATCAAAAATGTAAATCCGTACGGCTGATCTTCCTGGATTATTCGAATGCCTTTGGAAACCTGGATAGGTCAAGGATGCTAAACCTACTATCCGACAAAGGAGTTCACCCTGAATACTCTGTTACGTAACCATTTTACAGATTGTACACACTCCATTAATTTGAGCGGCAAGAAATCCTCTGTGCTCCGTGCCGACTGTGGTGTTCTACAGGGAGAGATCATTTCAGCCGACCAATTACCGCAGCCTCAGCGAACTGGTGTACGCAGGAGGAGCTATTTCGGTTGATTAGACTAAATGATTCAGAAGGGTTTTCACAAATCGGGCAGTTAACTGTATAATGACGAAAAATGGTATAGCGGTCAGGCCTACTACTCACAATGAAGTAGTGCACCGGGTGGTATGATTCCGTGTGGATTCAGTAGTAAAAGCGTTGTAATTGTCATTTCACTTCCACACCCCGTTTCATTTACTCACGATAATGCAGTAAAACCGCTTCCCTGCTACAGAAATGTCAACTGGCCGAATCTTCGTTGCACTGAAGGGAAACTGCGCCATTGATGCACAGCGGGAGGAAGAAATGGGCGCGGTGCTTTTTCAGACATAGTGCCTGTTCATCTAAACTGGTTTAGGACGAAGGGTATTAAATTCCATTTCGAATCGCAGATTTTCAAAAGTTCACATTACCAGTGTTTCACGTGCGGTTTAGTGGACTGTGCACAGTCCACCAACGACGTGAAATGAGTTACAGTAGTTTCATTGGGGAAAACGTCAATTTTCATTTAAGTCGATCGGACGAAATAGGAGACATGCATATGTGCAGGTTTAGGTTTGTTCTCCGAGCCGAACTAGTTCGTTGCAGACGTTTCATCACAAATCGAGGTGACTTCGTCAGTGCAACTGCAAGAAAATAGTTCGGCTCGGAGAACAAACCTAAACCTGCACAGACAACCCGAGTTCCAGGTATTCCGCTTTATTAGATGCATATGTGTCTCGGGTGATGGAATACCACAAAGACATTCAGGTGTAGGAAAAACTCAAAAATCCTCTATCGAGATGACGAACAGTTCGTGACAATCGGGAGACTGATAGCAAAACTGAGCCAAGCACGGTTCGCAAGAAATGACCACGATGGGGTCAGGTTGTCATGCCAACTTGAAGCCGCAGACTATTAACTCGGTGATGACAACTCGCGTAAGAAGAGATGTTGGTGAACATTGATAAAAAAGTGGAGATTTCACTAGCCACACATGAATACCTAGTGCAGAAAGGTGCTCACATGCCTGTGAAATGGCTAGCAAAATGAAGATCGGCGTCTACTACCGCTGAAGGGATGTATAGATAAATGTAATTGATTTCGTAAACGCAGTGTCTCGGTACAATACCAATTAGCCTAACTAAAGGTCGACTCGATTTGGCCATCTCAAACGTGAACAAGTGCATCATTTATCCAATCACAGATGGGTCAAAGAAGGCAGAGCATATCCCACTCACCCGAGAACACGAATAGTGATTACAAGTCCAAAAAGTACACAAAACTGGGGTGAAATAAACTGACGTTGTGAAAGAGAAAATATCTGCAAGCAGCGGTCCTGAGGACGATCCCATCGCAAAAAATGGACGGCATAGCCCTCCGAAACCTAAACACGTCCCTTGAATACTACCAACGCTACATGGATGACACATTCATCGTTTGTGACTCATACCGATCATTTTCATCTGTTTAGCCAATTTAACTAGGTGCACTCGTTGTTAAAATTTGCCTGTGAGATTGTGGACAGTAAGCTGCCTTTTTTAGATGTTTTGTTGCGACGACGAGCGGACGGATCGCTTGAACGAAAGGTCTTCCGGTAGACGACTTGGATAGGTCAGTACAAGCATTTCCACAGTTTCGGACAAATAAAGTATCAGAAAAACTTAGTATGTTGCCTGTACTACAGAACTACAAGAATTTGCAGCCCAGAGAAGCTGCAAGCGGAAAAGAATTTCATACTCAAGACACCGGAAAGCAGCGGGTATCCAACTGCTTTCATAAAAAAAACATTCCCTGATCCGGACTGACTTAGAAACAAAAGTGACCGTGAGAAAAGAGGACGTTTTTCTTTCAGTACCTTTCATAGGGGACATAGAGTTCGAGCTCTTGAGTTAGAAATTAACTTCCGCGCCGTACCAAACGTACCCGGCTGCTAGGGTCCGCATTCACGCAAAAATTGTTCTGCTTATAACCCACCGCCTAAGACAGAATTCCGGCCCACTCCGAATCATTTGTTCCATACCAGTTCACTTTCAAAGCGGATAACGGAACACTGCCCCGCTTCATTACAACGTGGTACGACCAAGAATGCCTACAGCTCCATTCTGTTACACCTAGAAGACAGTGAACAACAAATACCATTGAAAGATGCTTTCAAATTGGTGTATGTTGCATCAAAACGCTGTCCAAAAAGACGCACAAAGCGCATACTGATCACGCAGAAGCAATTAGGATCAAGCGGCTACGGCGGAACTGCGTAAACAGAACGCTCTAGTGCAGAGTTTAACCCTCGCGTGGCCATAGCCTGATCAAGTATAGTGGTCCAGGGCAGTGGATTTAAAGTTTCATACATTGCCACCGTTCCCCCAGTCAGAGCATACACGACAAATCGCTGCTCCTATTCTAGTGATTATGCATCTCATGATTGTAGTTGCATGAAGATATTTCTTCCCAATTCCCCATTTGACGTCTAAATCTGCATAATTGATGTCGCTGTAAAGCTCATTCCCGATACGTGGATAGTACACAAATTTTCAATGAGACCGATGAGGTGAATTGTGTGTGCAATAAGCGTTGCCTACAATTACAACATGTTTGCCTAGTTGACACGGGGCTGACTAACAGCCGTCCACAGACTTGAGAGTAGTCAATCCCCGCGCATAACGCGTGCACGCCGACGGTGTTCAGTTCTCACTCTATAGTCAACAGCCTGACTGAAAAGAGACCACAGTTGCTTGGAGAACCGAGGCGAATGAGTAGACGGTACCGAAGCTAAGGAGAACACTTGACGTAAAGGTTGGTTGCATTCAGTTTCAGTTTTTGTCTGCCACTGTGGCCTGCATAAGACAGCTACAGGAGGCCTGCGCCTACCAAAGGACCATGGGTGACATGTGCCGCACCACCTACACATCCCGTGTCCAATGTAAACCAGAAGGAATAAAACCAGGAGATATGGCGACGAGAGACAAATCGCATCAACGGATCCGGCCCACAGTCATTCGACACGCGCTACTGTCTACCTAGTTTAGGAAGCACGCGTACCAGACTTACACAAGGTGGTAGCTGGGCCGTAGCTCGCTTCACTGTGGATGCACAGAATCACTCATTGAGCCGACCACCGTCAAGAGGACCGTGCAACCCAACCCAGCAGAAAAAATTCAGTCTCCTAGAGCAAGTAATCGAGGCGAAGGGTGTTAGACAAGCAGGCACCTTGTGAAAGGAATAGTATAATACACAGTTACATATGCACACATTAATAATAATAATAGTACGTCAGCCATCGATGAGGACATGCGAAATGTACAGAGCAAGATAAGAAATTACACATTAAGAATGGTACATCAAAGTATAATGTAAAAGTGCTATAAAGAGATGAGGTCAGATCAAGAAACGAAGCCTATGGTGGACAATTTCGCCTTCACAGAGTCAGTGATATTTGGGACGGAGAGATTCGGATCACGAACACGGAGGTGGGGAACTGCCCAATCCAATTTTTCCAACCAGGTGGGAGTGAATTGTAGAAGCACCTCGAGATGCTCATTCACAACACCTGTAAGGCGGAGATTGGAAGAAATGAATCACAGACGAAAGATAAGTAAGGATATCAGAAAATGCGGACAGAGAGATGCCGCCAATTCGTGTAGCTCCATAAATCACGTATTTGCCTGTACCACGATCCTCATGGGATGTGCATGCCCCATGCTGAGGCTGATGTTGCATTAATGATGCGTCTTCACCGCAGTTGGGCTAAACCAACTTACACTTAAACTAGGTCTTTTTAAGTTGAATACAATTCATTTGACTTTATTTGGTTTGCTCTGTCTACCTGAAAAATCTTCTATTGACTGGCCACATTGTTTACGATAATTGCGGTTATCTTTGTTAATTGTATCGCGTTCGTAGTATTTTTGATTAACTTCTGGAGAGTTTGCACTTATCGCGGATTCATCGCTAACCAAATTACATCATCTGCTAATTTAGAGAAGAGTTATGTCTACATAGGCGTATTCTTTTACATATATATTTTATTTGATAATGCCATTTCAATTGATTGGCTGTTGCTTGACATCCCTGGTGTGCCCGCGCTTGATGTGCATTTTGACAAGGTGCCTACATGTCTATTACCCACTACCTCGTTCATACTGGCTCCAGGAGACAGTTGGTCGTTGCTGGAGGGAACGGGGTGCACGGTCCTTGTGGCCGTTCTAGGCTCGAACAGTCGTTCCGTGCACTCAATGTGGAGCGGACTACGGTCCAGCCACCGCCTTGTATGCGCTTGATTCCCAAATACCGCGTGCTTGTGTTTGCCTGTGAAAGAGTGTCGGCCGGCTCCGTTGATGAAACGTGGTTCTCATCCACATGCTTCTCGGTCTTATTCCGTCGGGTTTACACTGGATATGGGGTGTGTGGTTGGAGTTGTGGGTGGTGCAGCGTAAGGCACCCATGGTCCCTCTATAGGCGCAGGCGTCCTGTGGTTGGCCACAGTGACATGCAAATCCGAAACCGGATGCCGCTAACCATGGGATGTGTAAAGATACATGTTCTTAAGTTAGTCCAGACTATTGTTGTATATCTAGAGCAGCGGTTGCTACGTTCAAAAACAGTTGACAGTAAGGTTGAACCTAAAGCTGTGGTGTGTAGTGTACAACTCCGTCGCTACTTAGCCACCAATCGATATCGTGTGAAATAAAATGGTATTTCTCCTTTCAAAGTATAAGTGAGTGAAAAGTGAAAGGCGTCTATAGTTGTACGCCGGTGCGTTGGTTGTATCATTGCCACGCCACCGCCAGCGGCCGCGTGCGGGCTATGTATACAGCAAGGCCACGCAATTTATGCAGATGAGAACAGGTGACCGGGATGGCAGTAGAGAAATGATGACAGCGGCTATTGACGCAAGTGAGGATGCAAACGTGATACAAAAGTCTAACCGACACCAAATATAGAAAAGTGTGACTTAGCTGCAGTCAGTTATAGAGTAGGCGTAAAAACACAAATGGCATTAAGGTAGCACATTAGGCAAGAAACACGTTTATAATGCTCTATTAGGACGTCACATAACGAACAGCCAAGTATACGAACAAGGTCCAGGATTTATATGATCCAGAAACCAGTCTACAACCCAGAGCGAATATTGCAATAGTAAGGCCCCCTATACTCACCGTCTTCATCTTTCTTCCTCCTTCTTACCTATGCCAACGACAAAGTTGTCACCAACAAGGGTGTTGTGATGGATAAAGTCATTCAAACACACCTCCACATTCCCCGTCTTCAATGTCGATGTTCCTACTACTTATATTGTAGTCTAGTAGTAAATTTATCTGTTATAGGTGCTCCACTTGTTCCGGTTTCATGTGAGTGTCACTACCAGAATTCGATACTACTAAATAGCCATGAACGAAGCAGTCATCGAATGTGCTAAAAGAAAATTGACAACTGCTTTATATATTTCCGTATTAATATTCTCATGAGATCCACCAAACCCGAGATAGACATCCTATGCAAAATCATGTAACACACTGAAACAACAGGTAACGTTGGAACCCTATCAAAATTGAAAAAGGATTTTCATTACGCTAGTACATTTTTGGATTATTCGTGGTTGTTGAACTAGAAAATACTTTATTCACCTACATGTGCCGTCACAGGCGTATCTCGTCAAAAACGACAATCTACAATTTATAAGAGCATGTGGATCAAGATCATTGGTTAAGGCCGACGCGGTTGGGGAGGTCCGATCCAGTTGCCAAGTGAGCGCATAACACCCGCGAAAACGTGGACGCTTTAAAATGCCACACAATCAAATACCAAGTGCAATAAGTGTAAACAGGAAAAGAAACGGAAGATATCACGATTGGCAATCGATAGAGAGTACACGGAGAATTTGAGTTAATTCATAGAGGAACAAGGGGCCTAGGCGTGACCAGCTGATCTATTGCGAACCAGCTGAGTAGGACCGCCCAATTCACTCGACTCGACAATCGATAAGAATCACCTGTGGTCACCAGCATGCTTCTTTGGCAATGAGATGCCACGATAAATTCAATGAACAAGAATTTATCACGGGATAAAAGCGAATGCTTGACATGTCCCGTAGGATGGTTGGGGTGAATACGATGAAATCAAAATATATCTGGGTCATCTACAGAGTGTCTACCGAGGTGAATGCTTTGATAAATAACATCAGTGTAAAATTAGAAAATATCGAGCGTAAACGTTCAGAAATACACTAGGATGCGGTGGCGGTTGATATAAGTAGTGAGAAGAGTAAAATATGGTCGCTCACTTAGGTCCATTTGGTACATAACTCCTGTAGAAAAGCATGATTGGCGTAATCAAACAAAGGGCTGGGAGCTAAGAGCAACATCTAATCGTCTTTTGAAAAAGTCCAAGGTAGGAGAGGATATAACTGAGTCTGGGAGAGCGTTCTAGCGTTAGCAAACCCGAAGGAAAAAGTAATCACGTCGACACTCTAGACCACTACATTGTTCCTTCGACTTTAAGCAGTTACCCCTGAGCTGCGTGTTGTGGCTGTTTCAGTAAATGGCGGCATTCATGGTTGGGGGCACTCAATATCTGATACGCTAATATGAGATCGCCGCGCAGACTTCGATAGCGTCCGCTGAAAATTCCAAACAACTTCAGCCTTCGGTGGTAAAAGTGATAGCGCAGGCCCTTTACATTGCTTGTTGCTCTTCGTTGTGGTGCCTCTATCGCTTCTAGGTCGTGCTTCAACCAAGGTTGACAAGCTTGGGTAGCGTATCCAACATGCGGGCGCACGTAGGAGTTGTGCATCATTGGAAAGATTGATGGATCAAATCTCCCGAATGCCCTTCGCAGCATGCCGGCGTATCGGTTGCTTCTTTTCTTAGCTACCTCAGCCTGTTTTGAACAGTTGAGGTCGCTCTGTACGATCACACCCAGGTCAACTTCCTGGGAGCTATTCTGCAATCCGTTTGTCCCAAGCAAATATGTGTAGTCATGTCTATGGTGTAATCGCACAACGCGACATTTGGCTACGTTGAATGGTAGGGCGTTTTGAACTGATAAGTTCGACACCTTGTTAAGATCGCATTGGAGCCGTTCGTGGTCACCCGGTCCTCTTATCCTTCGCCATATCTTGATATCATCAGCGAAAAATAGGAAATCGGAAGCAACTGGTCTCGTCAAATCGTTAATGAACACCAAGAATAGACGAGGTCCAAGAACCGAGCCATGTGGTACTCCACATGCCACATCGATTACATCAGACTATAGTTCCCGGACGCTCACCTCTAGCCGTTGTTCGTGTATATAAGTGCCAATCCAACTCAGGATTGGGTCGCCAGTGACGTAATCCCGAAACTTCTGAAGAAGCATTTGATAATATAAGCGTTCAAACGCTTTGTAGAAGTCCAGGTAGATGATATCGACTCCTGCTCCATCATCAACGACTTCAGTCTAGCTATTACGTGCAATTAATAGGTTAGTATTACACGAATGCTTTTGACGAAAGCCATGTTGCTCTGGGGCTATTAATTTGTGGCTTTCCAGATACTGCATCAGCGCATCTGCGATGCTTGATTCCATAAGTTTGGATAGTACAGGAAGTAGTGTTATTGGACGGTAGTTGGTAGGGTTAGTGCGGCGACCTACTTTATGGATAGGAGTGATGACCCCTCGCTTCCATACTGGTGGAATATGGTTCTCCTCTAGACATCGCTGATAGAAAATAGCCAGTGGTTCTGCTAGATCACTAGCTACCGCCTGCAGAGCCTTTGGTCGGATGTTGTCGACTCCAGGAGAACTGTGGATACGCAAGGATAACAACTTCTTCAACACAGCTTCCGCAGTGAAGGTGATGTTGTCTAAACCGACGGTGGAGTAATAGAAACGAGGAGAATATTTGGGCTCGTTACCTGCTGGAAAGTTTGGGAGTAATGAAGCCGTAGGAGATCAGCTGCTTCCATTGCTGATCGCGTGCATCCATCAGCCGTGACTAGTGCTGGAATCCCCGCTTCACCTTTCGAAGGCCGTTAACGTGCCTGTACAGAAGTTTGCGGTTCGTGCAGAATCGCTTCATTAACTCCTGCTGATGCGTGACCTTGTCTTCGCGGATCAGTTTCACACAGAAGTTACGATGTGTCACGTATGCAGTCCAGGTTTCGGCATTCGAGCAGTCCTGGTGATCTCGCCATGCCAAATCCCTCCGGGACATACATTTACGTGTTCTGCTCCTCAGAAATGACTTATGCTTGCTTTTGGGTTGGAAGTACTTCTGATCCGCTGTCTGCGCTATCCCTGTGCTAAACGTCCTTGTTAAGGTTTCCCAGGCAACATCCGGGGGGATTCGGTTAACAAAGTCCAAGATGTATTCTTAACAAGCGCAGATAACACATTATAATTCGCGACAGTATGCACTTTATCATCCTCCTTTTCAGGATATTCCATACAGCATATATAGTCAAAAGAGTAGAGTAACTTGCTCATTGTGACTAAGTGGTGTGCTTGTAAGTATCCCGTCGACCGTGAGTCCTTCGTTTGTGAGCACAAGATCTAGTATCCATGGTTTAT